AGGAAAGAAGGAAAGAAGGAAAGAAGGAAAGAAGGAAAGAAGGAAAGGAAGACTTTTAAACACAATAGAATTTCAGCATTGTTTTGCTCCTCACTTATTCTTGACAAGGAATTACACAGAGATACACTCCCACCTTCATAGGCCATTACGACTCAAAGAAACAAAAGCTCCTCCATACCCTTGCTGTGAAATCAACTGCAGCTCCTCGGTTTAGCAGAAGCGTTGCCACATTGACGTTTCCATAATGCGCAGCTATGTGCAAAGGTGTAAAGCCACTCTACAAAAGGAAACAATCTTTATTTATAGAAATCAATGTATACAATACAATCAACTTTACTAGAACTTGATTTTAAAAGTTGCTGGCAAATAGTTGTGTTTTTATTGAGTTCACCTATGATATAGCAAAGTCTTTCAGGCAGAGCATGTAGTTTTCACATGGGAGATTATCAAAAGTGCTTCCTTCTTTTATTTTTTGCAAGCCAATAAGAGGTCAGTAACTTTCATCACAGAAAACATTAATATATCATTCATCCTTAAAGAAAATAAAGGGAATTTCCTTACTACAATTCAGAAATAACATGGGGCTTTTAGCCTGCATCTGTTCAGCAATTTTGCCTAAAAGTCAGCACAAGTTCTTGGACTTCTGTTGTACTCATCAAAGAATTACAAATTTTGACAACACATTTCCTTCTTTTATAAAAAGAAAGCAGAGGATATTCAATACCAGGAGTTTAGTCTACATGAGAAACTTTGCTAAACAGACTGAATATTCTAAGAACCATGCTTATTCACTTTTTATACATTATGGATCTGAAAGGATCTGAAGAAACTTTGCGATCTATACATCAGAAAAAAACAGGATTTACGTATTGCCACTTGAGCACTAGAAGGTGAAACATGCTTCATTTACAAGATACAGAATTATCTGACAACAGAATAAAAAAGAAAGTAGGACACCCAGCAAGCTTTTAGTCTCATAAGTAATTCAAGTAGAAAGGACCTCGTTTTTTAAGGTTTCCCTGAAGAGCTTTACACTGATTTGATCAGATCTTACAGTCTTACTGACAGTTATGGGAAAGAGAAATACTTTTCACTTCTGGACTGTGCTGTTTATTCAAAAACCTTTCTTTCAGTGTACCAATTATTATTTTAAACTGCTCATGGAATAAAGAAGTGTCTAAATAAGTGCATAAAAATGTGGAATAAAGACAGATGTTGCACCCTGAAATCAATTTTATTCTTGATAGAGCAATCAGCCTATTATTTTAACCTATTTCCATTAACTGTTTTGCTATCTCACAGGTGATCCTGGTCTAAGTAAAATCAGTCATTAAATTCATAAATTGTTGCTGTGGTAAATTACCAGAAAAATGTCTACTGAGGCTGTAGACACACAAATACAATACCGTATTAAGTTATAGAGTGAATTAATATTGTATTTATACAACTTCTCAGCACATGTATTTGCTCTGTGACAAATGCAAGGTACTTAGAGGTAGCGTAATGAATGGCCAGTGAAAAAGTTGTTAATTGCTTTACATTTACTGTAAAAGAACATGTCCATAGGCAGATGGCAGCAAGAAGCTGTCACCATTTCAATTCCCACTGCAGGCTGCCTCATAGCAATTTGCTCATGTATGCACAAAACAAATGCAGAGCACATTCACATGTGCACACATTCAAAATTCATTTCCTCATCTAACAAAGAAATGATTATTTAAAAGGCAGGATTCAAACAATGACTGCGTTCTAGGAAATACTACTTTTTCCTAAATGTGACAATAATGACTAAGGGAGAAATCACAGTTCTAGTCAATCTGACATAACGTTTTTAGCGGACATGCTCAGAGAGTCATTACATTCCATCAGTATAAAAAAATGTACTAAGTGTTATCCTTTAAGGACTTCTGAAAACTTCATTGAAAAAGATCACAATAAGAACAATGGTAAAAGTAAACAGATGCACTGAACAAGTTTTTTTTACCTTGGAGGATTCAATTATTTTTTCTACTCAAAATGTATTTTACAATGCTTCTGGCTCAGCCAGATATACCTTAATTTAGTTATGCCAAGTAAGTGCATTGTCATAATTAAATTACTTGAGCTAGAGAAACACCTCCAGTATTCTAGTTCCATTACACACTTCAGGTTTCTTTGAACTGAGTGCAAGTTCTGAGAAGTTTACTTAATATGGTAACAGTCACAAATAAAAAGAAATGCTAAGACAAAGAATGAATAATAACAGGTTTGCTGAGTGACAAAGTGTTATAGATTTAAAAAGTCACAACTTCACTTTTAGTGATAAATAATAAAGAAATGTTGTCACAGAGCAGAGAAAATAATCATAAATAATAGAAAGAATAATTAAAAATTTTTGATCTCGGTACCTCAGTCGTCCTATTCACCATCATCTGATGCAGCATGGTTTGGGAAAAAGAGGAAAGATATTAAAGATTGGCTGCAAAACCAAGAACTAAGTTGTTTTTTGAAATGAGTTATGCTGTTATAATGGGAAAAGCCATTCAAGCATGCATTAACATTAAATATAACCTATTTTCCCACAGGCAATAAACCAGTATCCTATTTGATAGGGAAGCAGTGATTTTGCTTCCATTCATATTTCTTTGGTTTATAAATAATAAGAGAAAGTTGGTTATCACTGAAATGAGAGATATAAACAAAAAGCAAAAAAAAAAATGTGTAGCTTGTAATTACTGTGTGGCTAAACAAGACAGAAGTAGAAACATTACTGGTGATACTGGTCTAGAGACTCATCTTTCCCCACAGAAGAAATTACCTTCAACCCTTTAGATGAAGGAAGCAAAAGCTGGCTGCCTGTTGGCACTCAGCCACATGAGTGCCCTGTTTCCTGTAGGACAGCATTATGTTACCTTGGACTGCACATCGGCATTGTGGTCGTTCTGCAGTAGGAGCGCTGCTGATTTGGTGTCATCTTTTCTGGCAGCAATGTGCAAAGCTGGTAATCTCACTTTCCCCTTGGTGTCATTTTCCAGCAGGATAGCCACTGCTTGATTGTGTCCTTGTTGCAGAGCAACAGCTAAGGGAGTAAAACCATCCTGCAAGAGAAAAAAACAAAATATACTCAGTAAGATGAAGGACACTGGGCTTCAGCGAACTGCACGGCACTGTTCACACACAGAAATATGCTAAGCACATCACCAGCTCTTTTCTGCCTCTACACCACAATGCTCACCAGTGAAATGGCATCAGAGGCACAACATTTTAATCCAGATGTGACTTCAAACACATCAGAAGAATGCTTTTTTTAGTTCAAAGTTTTGTTTGTTTAAGTACAGGCGAAGGATCATTCTACAGTATCTGTCCTAATTATCATAAAATGGACCACAATGTGTATTCTAGCAATATTTTTGCAAAAGAAAAGAAAACATATCTCCAGATGCATTTGCTTCTGTTTCCCATTCTAGTTTATATATGGCCTATAACTCACAAAAGTCAGCTAATATTTAGTAATTTATTCAAATTCTAACTGGAAAAACATTATATATTTTTCTGGAAATCAGAAAAATCTGTTTTTCCTTTGTATTTTTAGATTTGTTTTTAAATTGTTTTCAAAATTTCATGCTCTGTCACACATGCCCTGAACTCCCAATACTTTAAAATGTATCAAAACTCAAAACCTGCGTCTTAACTGAAGTACTGCCTGCTCAAGTACCTCATCTATAAAACTATACCTAAAACAATAAATCTAAAAGCTCAAGTCTTGCATGTTGTCTAAGCACATATGCTACGTTCACATGCTAGACTGAAAGGCAGCTAAACCACAAGCAGCAGTGGTTCCTCACAAACTGAGTCTGTGACAAGAAGGCTGGTGGATAATAGTGCTACGAAAAGGGAAGGGAATAAAACAAAGTTTTCCATGTGTAGATCAGAAGGAACAGCTGAAGAGTTTATTATGGCCAAACTGCCTAAGCAAACTAAGACACATTGTAAAAGGCATAGGAAAGAGATAGAACTGACTGGGAATACGAAAATAGGAAGATGTAAAATAATAAAGGATAAGTCGGAAAGGAATGAGTGCTAACATGCTGAAAGAAGCATCTGAAGAATTGCCAAAGCAATTTTCTCCCCTAGTAAACTAATAACACTCACTCCCTTTTGCGCTGAACTGTGGGTAAGTGTGCTGTAACAGCTATACTCATACAGTTTCTTTCTGTAATAGAGATTAAATTCTGTACAGTGAAATAAAATGTAGTGAACAGCTGATGTAACAGCTGAACTGCAGAGATAATTCTGAGATTGGGGCTACATTAGGTGCTGAAATGGCTTAATGCATTTGCCTTTTGCCTCTGGAAACATGAGAACAAATCCTGGATTAGAGGCCCTATGAAACTGAGATCATCCTGACTCTGATTTTGTACCTACACATATAAAGTGAAGGACACATAAAATAGAGGGAATAAAGTACATCCAAAGGCAGTGCCTGTTTCAGAGCTTCAAACACAAGATCAACAGTTTGATTTGTCCCACTTTATCTTCCATCTTTCTCTGAGCAGCTATTGCCGTTCTTGCATTGTCCCTCCTTTTACTTGTAGGTAGCATGGCTAACAGGAGCCCTGAGAAAGTATTTCATTTCTCCACCTCCTCACGTGAGAACAGTCTGTCTTTGAGGTCAAACAGAATGTCCTTCCAAAGTCTTTTGATGCTGTCTCACCTTATCAATGTATCACTTCTTTGTTCCATTCATAAGACTTAAATTCAGGGCACATGTGAAAGCAGATAGCAGCTCAGTTTTCTACTGAATACAGGTTTCACTAATATTCGCATCACTAAAGACACCACCTGAGCAAGGTTTGAAACCAAAACTTATCTAGGTAAGTGATAAGGGGATAGACAGACCTCACTTTTCAGGCCACAAAAGTAAGATCTGACTTTTCTGATGACAGAAGACAGACTTGGACTCAAGTTCAGAGTGGGCCCAGTTGGCTTTTCTCCTTCCCTGTCTTTTTTTTTTTTTACAAAATCAGACAACCCTACAAATTCCAATGATGCCTTGATGTCTGTGTTCAAGCAGAGGCCACATGAATTGTAACCACATCATCTTCACAGTTCCTGTAATCTAATGATCACTGCTCCTCATCACAGTCAATAAAAGCTATTTGGTGAAAGACTGAGAGCAGGTGACTGCACGCTGTAGCCAGGCTGGGCCCTGGGAGAGCCAAAGATCCCCTGCGACTCGGTCACAAAAGGCGTGCTTCTGCCAAGTTGCCTGGTGACCACATAGGACTTCATATTTCAGAAAGCTGCAATGTAATGTGATCTCAGTGTATGCAGGCCTCAAGAGGATTATTTCAGGAGCTGTCATCAAATGGTACAGTATCCATTGAAAGAAGGGATAGTAAAGCAGCTGTTAACACTAGCAGACCAGTTTAATGAAAAGGAAAGCAAGCATAAATGCACCATCATCTTGAATGTATCCATTCGTGAAGGTAATCTGGAATGGGTAAGTTTCTGTACAGACTAGGGAAAAGTAATAGACATGAGAAGAAGCTCTCTGAGAGAGGAGGAACTTTTTTTTTGTTACTACTTCACATTGCATTTCCATTTATATAGACTAAACACGATGCCAATAAGCTTTGTAGCACAGAGTCTGGTCACTTGTTCTCCTAGCTGAGAACAAACTAAGATTTGGCTGAAGCAGAGTAACAAGAAGTCGGGGGAATACATTCTTCATTATCTAGAAGTTTCCTTCATTGTCCCCAAAGCCTTTCATTTGTGAAAGGAAGCTCTTGAGATGGAGATTCATCTCTTCCACTGGCATCTGTTTTGCTTGCTTTAAAGTTGCTTCAGGCAGTGAAATCCAGATCCTAGCAATGAATACCATCTTTCTGTACACTTATTCCCACATGATTTGATGGTAGAAGTAAACTATGTGAGGATAACCAACACATTCCCTGGTAAGCTCATCGATGCAATTCACATTAGTCATTTATCTTCCCCATGAGACCCATTTCTCTCCAGACAAGATTTGGAGACACATGCTATAATAATTCCATTCACCAATTTTTGCCCAGATGTTACTGTACAAATAGAGAAGCAGCACAAGATAGTATCAGGTGGTGGCACTCCTAGATGCTTCAGTTTTCATGGGATTTGCCAAAGATGTAAATCTGAAACAGTGACTGTTCAAGAGGAAAGGCTGTACCTCTTCACTTACCCTATGATCAATCTGCTCCTAACTCACCTGGCAATACCATTCCATTGAGGTCATCTTAGCCTCCTATAATTTCTACATCCTTTGGGAACTCATTTCAAAATTTCATTCATTTTTCAAAAATATATCCGAGAAGCTGAATGAAGAAATGGGCATATACTAAAGGTGAAAAATCCTGGGCTCGCTAAAGTCAGTGGATGATTCGCTGTCAAATAATTCAGGCTGGATTTCATTCTTTGACTTCTCACAATTACCAGAACAGTTTGTCCATCTAATGTGTTTGTTTGTGGGGAAAAAAAAAAAAAAAAAAAAAAAAAGTGAAAAATCCATAAATACAACTCAGCTAAATTAATGACTGAAAGCTCTCAAAATACTCCATCTGCAGATCTTCAGATCACTGAATATACAGGCAAGGGAAAATAAGAGCGTAAAAAAAGAAAAATCTAAGTCACCTCAGTAGCTGTGCTTTGGTTGGCTCCATTCTCCAGGAGATATTTCACCACTTCAATGTGGTTCTCTTGAGCTGCCATGTACAATGGAGTGAAACCATTCTAGGGAGAAAATATGAGAAAATACTGTAGTGAGAAAACAGTGATATTAAAGCCCAAATTATGATACAGCTAAAAACGTATTTATGCTTTTTAACTTGTTACGAGTATATAAGCAGAACAACCAAGTATTTTTAACTTAGTATGGTAACATTTTAATGTCATTTAAAGCCACAAAAGTCTACACACTTTCACACACATTTTCTTCTGATATATTTTCAGGAAGCAGCGAGCACACTAATTACCTTGCTGTCAATGGCTCCAGGATGGTAAAGCTAAAATAAACTTTTATAAAAGATGACAGGAAAGTAAAATCTTCACCCCTTTATTACATTAACTTAACCAAAGACATCATCATCTGGAGAACATAAAGTCCGTATCTCATGACATGCTGAGCTGAGATGACAAAGGATTAATATATTACACAAAATTCTGCAATACATAAAACATAGCAAACATAACATAAAAACCTCAGCCTTACAAAATAAGAACTGCATTTCTGACCATACAACAAGCTGGTCTACTTAGAAGAATCTGCTCTGGATAATACTTCCAAGTTAGGAAGTATTATCCAGAGCAGATATCTTAGGGGAAATTCATTAGAAATATGTTCTAACCAGAATTAATGCAAATACTGTGGTAACTAAGAATTTTGTTTCAGAGAAGCCAACTTGCTATGGAAACACTGAATTAATTTCCCAATTAAATGAAGTCTCTTTTTTCAGTCAGTAGGGAACACAGTTGTTTTAGCTGTCTTTACAGCTGTCCTCTACATTACAAATGTAGACAATTACTCAGAAATTTTATGTATGTTGCATATGGTGGTGACATATAGCACACCTGTTGTAGCATCTCTTTTAATACGACTTTGTGTAATATTCTAGTATTTCCATCAACAATCCTGGGACATAAACAATTAAAAAATTACACCTAACAACTGTTAAGAGCAATTTATTGCCAAAACTGTGGTGTGCATTTTGGGTATCTTGCATCGGAAGCCTCTGTCTCTGGCAGATATTTTCCAATATTCTCAGGAATTACTTGGAAGATGGAACTGAATGCTCTTATTAGTTACACACAGCATGAACAAGGTGTTCTGCAATTACACCACACAAGAAGAACATGATTTGAAAGGTTCCCGTTACCCTGGAAAAAAGGGATGGACATGCAGCATAACAAGGTTGAATGCTAGTTTCAATGCTTTGGCAGGATTAGCAAACTGGGCAAATAGGGAAAAATGAGTTAGAATTTCGCAGAAAAGGACTTGAAGGTCACAAGGACTACCAGAGGGTCACTGAGCTCATCCTGCTGTAACACAGACAATCACTGTGCTACTGTAAAAATCAAAATAGGGAAGTTACTTTTCTTTAAGAAAACTGTTGTAATTGGTGTTATTTAGTCTAGAAATAGAAAACCGAAGGGGAAAAGATAACGTTATTCAAAGAGGAAGGGAAAGACTTGTTCTGCATATTGATAATGCTAAAACAAATAGAAAAGTGCATAATTTACTAAGGTTGTAGCAAAGAAAATTCAGGATAGACATCAAGAAAAGCCCCTTAACAGTAAGATCAATGGTATTTTGGTGGGCAACTCTCCTGCCCTCAAATTACAAGCAGTAAACCAGAGGCACAAAGGAGGAACACAAGACCACCTCTTCCATTTCTGTCATGGTGGCAGAGAGGCCAGCATGCACGTGTGCAGAGAACTGCCAAGCTAACGAAGTGAGCTGGCAGTAGGAATTATGAACAGATTGGTTTGCTTTCAATTGCACTAGGACAGGACAGCACTGAGAAAACTGCAGGTAACCAAGCTGGTTTGCTTTTTTAGTTTTCCTTCTCACACTGGAAAGAATCTATTAGCAACTAACCTGTAACTAGCAGTAATTTTCTACATGCTTGGTTAGTATTCTAATACTGAAGTATAATGTAGCATTTTTTAAATGATTCATGCATTTTGCAAGATACTTCTAACATTGAATGCTGTATGGATGAATACAAGGATCACACATGCACTCATATATGCAAAGAATATGAGAATTTTCAAGCCAAAGTAAATCTATTTGATTAAAAACTTATTACTGGAACAGGATCAGGGCAATAAACCTTGGATTAGAACACCATACACAATACATATAAGATTTTATTATCATTTAGAAATACTATATGCTTACCCACCCAGTCCCAACACTGATCCACAGACTGCCCACTACATCAGGTATATTCTCCTAACGTGTCATAGTCCTACCTGTAACTACAGCAAATGCATGTAAAGAAACTTGCCTACATAAAGTCACAGCCTCTTTTTTTCCCCTCAAACTTTGTTTATAGTGTAAAATTATCATATATTTTTTCTTAAAATCTTTCTTATCTTGGAAATTGCAAAAGCATGCTGAGTTTTATTTGTAACATTGCCTACACCAGACATACTGAAAAGCTTCCTCTGAATTTATCCTCTGGCAAGGCCAAGCTTCATTTTTTTCACAGTCAGGATGAAGTTTGCTTTCTTAGTGAAGAACTGCTTTCAGACCTTCTAATTGTGGTGTTCCTGACCTCAGCACTTTTGGCTCTTGCCCAGAGACTCCTATTTTAGGAGATTCCCAACATTACCGCTGTCCTTGGCAGAGCTCTACCCAGTGGGATAACCTGTTAGCCCTGCTGGAGCTGTTCCTTTTTTCTTGTTTCCCGGACTCCAGGACTTCCACATCTCCTCCCACTCAGCACAGTTTCTCTGACAGGCTATGGTGTGCCTGCTCTTCTGTCTGTCTCCTACACAACAAGTTTTTTTCTCAGACAGACCTTCAGTTAAATGGAAATGCCCACAACAAAAGCATATCCCTCCCTCCATTCTATTTACTTCTTGGATCTAAAATTCCCTTCCCTGTTTCTCATCTTTTAGTTTCAAAGAGCTACATACCAACACTAGGTTTCTCTGTTCTGCTTCTACAGGTATTTCAAAGTTCTGGATACCAGACCTCTGGAAACTGAAGACCCTAGACTTCTGTTTCATTACTCACAGTGTTTACCAACAAACTCAACCCACAAACGATGTTTCATGGATGTACTGCAAAGGACAACAACCTCTCTCTTGCTTGTACTAGTATGTAAATGGGATGCAGAAGTTTTATTGGGCCTTGAAAGGGAAAAGTATCTTTATTACAATACATTTTCCTTGAGCTTATAAGCTCACGCTGTATCAACACATTCCAGAATTCAAGTAAAAATGGAGACTATAGTAACTAAATATGACAGGAAAAGAAGAAATACACTTTCTTCTTGTTTTCTCAAAGCGTGACTGCATAATTCTGCTGTGTCTGCATGTCTAGGTTCTGTGCATCATATGAAAAACAGAAATTATTTTGTAATGATATATAACATTCACTTTCACAAAATGATTTCATCAGAGTATTTGTTGTGAGGACATAGTACTCAGATTTGATTATCCCCTCAAATACATACTGAAAAATGTTTACTTCTACAGTATAAAGTTATTATGCGAAATTAACACTAAGCAAGTAGAGTATATTTCATGCCCCATTCTCTCTACTACATTCAATTATTTACTTGCTAATTTGAGAAAATGACTAGCTCTCAATGATTCTTCAAGCTAATAATGCAAATTGGCAAGCCTTAATATGACTCCGAATTTGTATCATTAAATGCTATCCAAGCCCTAATGAAGAACACAGTCGGAAGAAGCAAAGAGATTATTAAAAGAGATTATTATTGAGAAAACCACACAGCTTAGCCAGTTTAGCTGTATTTTAGGGCAAGTTTTCAAAGAATCAAGCTCTTTGTACGCAGTACCAAATGACTGGAAGTACACATCTTCTAACTTGGTCTCAGTAGCCACTCTGAATGACTGGCCTACCCACATGAGTATGCAGCCCTTAGCATCTGTCCATATATAGAAATATGTGTGTATATACATATATATATTTATATATATACACACACATTTATCCTTTATCCTATCCTGCATGCTAATGAGGGAAATAGAGAAAACAGATGAAAATATTTCCCCTCAGTTTGCCTCACTTATGATGACATATGAGAGCTGTGATTAAAGAGCTAACAAACTCAAATAAAATATTTTATTTTAAAAGCCTCCAAGAACTGTTGAAGACTGTATTAAAAGAAGACTAAAATTACTAGGAAAGACAATTGACATTTAGCACAATTGTTTATATAAAGCAAATGCTCATTCCTAGTTACTCTTCAAGATATAATTACCAAGTAAGGAGCCCACACAGTCCTACCTAGGCCAGTTATCTCACATGCCTCTCCATCTTACTCTATGGGTTTTTGGTTCGAAATCTTGATTATCTTTTATCCTACAATTTTGCTTCACACCAAGGAAATGAAAAGCTATCAATCAAGGTCACAAATGAAAACCAAAGTGGTTAGACATTTTGTTGTAATCTGTAATACAATTCTCTAATTGTAATTTCTCAAGTGACATTTAAAGATGCTGTGAGCAAAATATTGCGCAAGCTTGGTTTTCTCTGGGTTGCTCGTTTCCATTGTAGGACCTGGCAATTTATCCAACCTGAGGGAAGCTTCTGTGAATTTAATTCTAGTTTTCCTCCTGTGTCTCCTTCTTTTTCCACTCTTAGAACACAAGCCAGTTTCAAAATGAAAGAAACACTGGCACAAAGGATGAGATATGAATGAGACAAGATGAGACAAGCTTAGATTAGTCATAAGACAGCACACTCCGATAATAAATTCTTCTTATTAATGACCATAGCATTTAAACAGTAAGAACATAATCACTGCTCAAACCTTTAAAATTCAGTAACTGTTTCAGGCTTTTTCTACTCTTCTGAATACTGCTTGACTTAAACAAAAATGGCAAGATCCTGATTGAAATCTTTATTCAGTGACATACAATTCACGCCCCTTGTTTCCGCACTCTCCCAGATATTAAACCAAACCAGTGACATCTACATCCCATCTTAGCCATCAGAATAAACATGTCTACTATCAGAACTAGAACTGTCAATA